TAAATTTGTCAATTAACTATATTGTATATAGTTCAGTATCTCATAAATTATTTTACATATAATTCAATATCTCATAAATTAGGGGAAGAGTTGATTAGCGACTGACCGCGCGCGGCCGTAAAAGTGGCAAATTGGGGGGCATTTAACTATTTACCACTTTTTTCTTCGGAGAAATTTGTTGTTTTAGTCCGAATTTCTGCTCTTCTTATTCACATGAGATTTAAGAGTTCATCACCACCTGACTGTTTCAAATCTGCGTCCAAAGCAAAACTAGTAATGTTTTGGAAGAATCATGGGATTACATAGAAGATATTCAGCCATCAATCCATCGTGTTCATGAGTGACAGCTCCTAGTTTTTCCCCCTAAACTTGAACAGAACCTCTGCTGTGGTGAAAGCAGCAGCAGCCTCTGCCGCCGCTCGAGATCGCCGTCTCTGCCAGCGCTTCGTTGATTGATGTCGTTGTCTCCGTTGAAGCATTGTCGCCGCTGCCTCCGAACACAAACCCTCGCCGATGTTGCGCATGCGGCGTGCTAGTGCTAGATCCAGATAGGGTGAGTTTTTAATTGGATCCATGCGACTGTAACTTTGCGAAATTTAAAAAATACAACTACTATTTGTTATATCGGCTGCATGCCACTAAAAATTTCTAAAATTGGAACCATACCATTGCCGTCCCTTTTTCCATCCCCTCTCTCATGGGAAACTATTCTAATCCCTCAAGGGGATGTTCCCTCGTTTGCTTAAAACCTATCTAAACGGTTATGAAAAAATCTGGAAAAAATTGACAACATTCATACAACACATATATACAACTCCACAAAATCTTAAGTCCAAACTCAACTCACACGTCGAGATATAAAAAAGATAAATTCAGCGTATAAATAGTAGCGTACTGTTTATATCTAAATTTGTCTTTTTTTTGTTTCTCGATGTGCAGATCAAATTTAAACTTAAATTTTGATGAACTAGTAGGTATCATTATACTCTACATTGTCAATTTTTTTCAGAATTTTTTACAACTATTTACATCGAATTTAAAAGAAAAAAAGATATACGAGGGATATCCCTCGAGGGATTAGATTCCACTCCCCACTCTCACGCCGTCTCCTTCCCACGTTTAATCGTTTCAATCTCCCTTTCTCTCTCCCTCCAACTGCAAAAGGACAGCGGCGGCGACGCCAGCGGCAGCTCCCGAGCACTCCCGCCGCGGACGGCGTGGAGGACGACGGCGGCGGCGGCAGCTCCCGAGACTGAGCTCGCCCGGCGCATCGTCGAGCACGGCGGCGTCGCCATGTGTGACGGCGGCGGCGCCACGCTGCGCCGGCCGGGCATGTAGCAGCTGTGGCGCGACGGGGGCGGGGAGATGTCGGCAACCATGAAGTCGTCGTCTTCGTCATCGTCGCGGATCTCCAGGGGGAGGAACTCCTCCTCGTCGCCGTCCTCGTCGTCATCGTCATCTCCGGCGAGCTCGAACGTGGCTTACGGCCAGCGTTGGCCGTCGGCCCGCGACTTCCACTCCCCGACGCTCTCCTGCCGCGGTGGAGCACGAGGAGCGAGCCCGGGGGAAGGTGGCGGCCGCTGGCGTCGACCTCCTCGCCGAAGAAGAGGAACAAATGGTTGGCCCGGCGGATGCGGAGGCCGTCGAAGCCGGCGAGCGTGGTGTCCACGCGCAGCGCCCGCATCCTCATCGTCGTCCGCCGCACGCTCCCGCACCTCCGCGACCTCCTCCGCTCCCTCCTCTACTCCCCCGCGGGCGTCGCTGTCTTCCTCTCCGACCTCCTTGCGTGATGCAGCAAGAGCAACCCATGATGGACTGTACACCGACATTGATGTCTTTCTCAAGGTATATTTGCTTGACAATGACCATGATGCAAAACAGTGATCATTTTTCATCTTTTTTGGTTCTTGAATTTGCTTTATTGTACATGTTGATGTATATTTTCATCCACCATGTTAAGTATAAACTACTAATATATTTTGTATATGATTTCTAAACTATTATTTTTGACATGAACATATTGCAATCTGCTGTCACTTGTCAGTTGCATCCGAACGTGCCGAAGGCGGAGAAGAGGATCGGAAGATCTCAAGCTTGATGGACGTGAAGAAGCTGTCCAAGGAGGCGTGCATCCACGCGGCGCAGAACAATCGCCTCCCGCTCCGCGTCGTCATGCAGGTGGTCTTCTTCGAGCAGCTGCGCGCGGCAGCGGGGGCCAGCCCGGCGGCGGCGACCGGCGGCATTGCGCGGCGTCTGGTGGAGGAGGAAGACGAGGACGACGATGTCAGTAGAGGCGGTGGGGATTGGAGCAAGTCCCGCGCGCTGCCGACGCCGACCTCCTCAACCCGCGAGCGCTCGCCGTGGCCGCCGAGCTCGCAGGAAGAAAGAAGAGGGAGATGGTGTGAGATGACGCCACATCTGACGGGGGAAACGAGACAGCGTGAGATAGGAGATGGAAAAAGGGACGGCAGTGGCATGTTTTCAATTTTAGAAATTTTCAGTTGCATATAGCTGATATGGTGAATAGTAGTGGTATTTTTTTAATTTCGCAAAGTTGTAATGGCATGGATCCAATTAACCTTTTTTTTTTTGTTAATATGGACTGCTCGAGGGAAGATGAGAATTGTGGAGGGGTGTTTTGCAAAACTTAGTGGAGGAGGCGGGCGGTAAATTGTAAAAATGCAACGCTTGGAGAGTTAGCCGCAGGATCTTGATCGAAGGGCTCGGAACGAGCGTGTGCATGAGTGCAGCTATATGCCCGTGTGCATAGGATACGTTGCCATATATGTACATTTATACGTATATAAACTTTGTATACATGCGTATACAAACTTTGTATACGTGCATATATATAAACTTTATACACGACGTATATAAACTCTGTATACGGGAGTATACAAACTTTATATATATATATGTAAAAATATAAACATGTATATAAACTTTATACACGTACATATACAAACTTTGTACACGTGCGTATATAAAGTTTGTATATGCGTATACAAACTTTGTACACGTGCATATACAAACTGTATATACGTGCAAAATATATACATGTATGTATACAAACTTTGTACACGTGTGTATACAAACTTGCTACTGAAAAACCGAAAAGGGAGAGAAAAAACCGAACAAAGACGGAAGAAACCAACGTAGAAAAACGAGAAAACCGGACAAAAAAACAGAAGAACGGAAGAAACTAACGAATAAAGAAAACCGGAAAAAAAACCAACGAAACGAACGAAAAAAAAGAAAACCAGAAAAAAAACCAACGCAACCTAACTCCTCCGCGCGCGCCACGTGGCTCGTCACGCGGGAAGGGACGCGCGCGACTAGTCGTGTATTAGCGTTTTTGGCAAATTGGTCCTATACCATTTTCTGGCCCTTTTCATTTTCCAAAATTTTTCAAAATTTTTAGAAACGTTGTTCAAACGCATACGCACGTACACCCTATCTCCAAATAGGGATCTCGAACTAGATTATAGGGAGACTCATCTCCTTCTTCCTCCTTCAGCCCCCGCACTCGCACTGCACCCAACCCACACTATTCCTCATATCCCTCTTCTTCTCCCTTCCATCTCTTATTAGAAGGACTCAGTCACTCAGCACCTACGTTGGATCAAATATAAAATTAAGATGATGTGGCTTTATGAAGAAAACACAAGAAGGAAGATAATTTAGACCATACATCTAAGAACTACAAAGAACTAAGATGATATGGCTTAGTGAGAGAGAAAAAAAGAAGAGAGATAATTTGAACCATAGGTTCATCATTTGAGGACTAAAACCAATTTATATGATATGACTTAATGAGAGAAAAGAAAATTAACATGGAATAAAGTGAGGATGAACTATATAGATTTATAGGATATTAAAAAAATGATGGAGAGATATATTGAAATATTATGTGAATTATGTGGGATGATTTAACATGCTTATATTTTAAATCTCTAAAATTTAATAAATTATTAAATTATAGATAATATAACATGATGTTTAAATGTAATAATTGTTAGTAAGTAATGATATGACATCTCTGTATGTTAAGCTTTAGAAATTAGTGCGATATATAATTTTATAGCAAGTGAGAGGATTGCATTAAAGTACATAAGTCACTATAGTAGAGTATTACTCAAATAGTATAATGGCCCCTGCTATAAATGAAACTTTTACATTGGCCTCCTCCTATTTTTCAATCAAACGTTCGAAGGACTCTTGCTCCCACTCTAAAAAGAAATTTTCAACTGGAGTAGTAGTGTAATATTCCTTTGAATTTTCTTTATTTGTTTTTGAGGGAATTAAGGAAACATTTAAACGGGCAGATTATTCGTAGTCAATTTGGTTTATTAAATTATGGGTGCCATGTTGGAAAATTAAACTAAAAACACTGGTCCACGCAAGAGTGTATAGGTCGAAATTAGACGTGGATTCAGGTCCAATTTCACAGCAGATACATACAAAAAGGCCCTTCTTAGTTTTTGGCCTTTCAAGCCCTTATCCTCTGGCTAAACAAGACTACAAGCATGGGCCTCACAGAACTTGGCCCATTTCCTCCATCATTTAGCATTGGAGAAAGTATACTTTGAGTCCCTCAACTATCGTCCAAGTATGATTCATGACCTCCAACCACAAAACCGGGTATATCGACTCCTCCAACTATCAAAACCGGTGCAAACAATATCCCTCGGTGGTTTTGACCGGGTCTTTGTCCTACGTGGCGCTTACGTGCCACTATAGATTATAAAAAACAAAAAAAAAATGTGGGACCCATATGTCATTCACACAAAAAGTGGAACCCACATGTCATCCTCCCTCCCCTTCTTTCTCCCCCTCTCTCTCCCTCCCTTATCTCTCTCTCTCTCTCTCTCTCTCTCTCAGGACTCAGGAGCGGCGGCGGTAGCGGTGGCCGATGGGGACGAGGCGGAGGGGAGCGGTGGCAGCGGGGAGCGGCGGCGGCGGCGGTCGGGAGCGGCGAGGTGGCGGCCATTGACGAACACTTAGGGGAGGGTCATGTGGCGGCGTTGGGGGAGGAGCGCGGCAAGCTCCGGGAGGAAGGTCGGGTCCATGGGGAGGTCTCGCTCGTCGACGGCAGCGCGGAGCCCCCACAGGATGGCGCGCACGGCACGACAGTCCTCGTAGGTCCCGCAGACGACGCGAAGCGACGTGTAGTAGAGCAACACCCGCGGCCCCTCGCCATCGCCAAGCTTGCTCCAGATGGTGGCCGCCGCGGGCTGGAGGTTGCGGAGGACGCGCAGCGCGCACGCGGCGACGCGGATACGGTGGAAGACGTGCGGCGGCGATGGGGAGGGGGAGGACAGCGCGGCATGCGGTGGGTGGTCGGTGCCCTCCGGGACGAGCAGGTACTGACGGTCCTTGATCCGTCCCCGCTCCCAACCGCCTCCGCCGCTCCCCATTGCCGTCTCCCCCGCACTCCGGCCAAGAGAAAGGCCCAAGGGGGAGAGAGAGATAAGGGAGAGAGAGGGGGAGGAAGAAGGGAAGGAGAAGGAGGATGGCATGTGGGTCCCAAAATACTTTTTTTGTGCGAATGACATATAGATCCCACATATTTTTTTTATTTTTGTTTTTATTCTAATGCCACGTAAGCACCACGTAGAACAAAGACTTGGTCAAAACCGTCACGTAGGCGCCATGTCAGCCAAAACCACTTCCCAAACCACCGAGTGATATTGTGTACACCGGTTTTAATAGTTGGAGGAGTCCATATACCCGGTTTTGTGGCTAGGGGACATGAATCATACTCGGGCGATAGTTGAGGGAGTCAAACTATACTTTTTCCTTTAGCATTTGGCCCAGTACGCAAGAGTTGGCCACTAGCTCATTGTAGAGGTATATAAGGCTGAGAAATGCAGAGGATATTTCATCAAACAAAATGACCCCCATTGTTAGACAAGTACAGTCAGTTTTGTATTATAAGACGTTTTAAATTTATTCTAAATTAGTTTTTTTAGTTAGACTAAATTCATAAAATATATAATAACACATATAACACACATATTAGTTAGTCCTTAAATTTACCATGTAATATATATATTCATTAACATTTATATAAATGTGGATAATACTAGAAAGTCTTATAACCTGACGGTATATATATATATATATATATATATGTGTGTGTGTGTGTGTGTGTGTGTGTCTAGATTCATTAACATATATATGGATATGGGCATCGTTAGAAAGTCTTCTAATCTGAAACGGAGGGAGTAGTATATTTGTTTTATGTTAGAAAATATGCTACATTTTTTTTATAGTTTTGGTTAAATTTAAAGATTTTGTCTTAGGACAAACCTAAATGACCCATAATATATAACTGAGTTAATTAGTCCTACTGTTATGAATTTAGTTCACGAGTATTCCCAAATCCCAATACAACATGCATGGATCACCTTATTTCACGGCTTGTTCGCGAGGACTCCGTGACTGAGTAATGAAGATCCTTTTTTCCCCGAAAAAAAAAAACATGCATGGATCACCTGTATAGTAGTAGGAGTACATGTTTATAAAACTTTTAAGAGCTGTTATATAGGAGTATATAACTTTCGTATCAAGCTAGTCCGAATAGTTGAAAAGTTGTCATCACTCATCAATTCACAAAGTTCTGAACTTCATTAGATGAATGTCCATATGGGCAACATATCCTATGCACACAGGCCCTCACGTGTACACACGTGCACACCAACTAAAAAATGTCACCAAAAAATCTAGAAAAAATCATACACATACTTTCAATTGTATTACACCTAGGGTTAAAATCTTAATGTCAAATTTATTATATTTTAGCCATAACAAAAAAAAACAAAAAATCTGACAGTTTTAAGGTTGCAATTTTATCAAAATTTTATCTTTTTTGTTATTCTCTATGTAGAATGAATTTGAAGATGCGACTTTGCACGTAGATGTAATACTATTGAAAGTACATGTATGAATTTTCCTAAAATTTTTTGTGATAATTTTTAGTTGGTGTACACGGTGTGTACACGCGAGGGCCTGTGTGCATAGGATACGCTCCCGTCCATATGCATGCAGTGGCTGTTTTCAAAGCAAGGTAATGTAAAACCTGAAGCTAGCTATAGTGAGTACTACTCCATCCCAAAATATATCAATCTATCTAGATAGCCTCTTATCCAGATTCGTTGGACTAGGATATATGCCATCCGGTTCTAAATTGTTATATTTTGGGGCGGAGGGAGTAGCTAACAGTATTTACATCGCATAGACAAAGATTATATAGCACAGTCTACGAGGCAAAACCCCAGTTAAACGTTGAAAAGGATGTGGGCCAAGGAGCCGCTGATGGCATTTCTCTGAACATCTGCAGGATTAATAACTGAAAGAGTCTGAAACAAACTGCATGCATGCATGGTAGCTAAGCAAACATATATATGCATGCATAATTGCGTATGCAGATGCAGATGATGCAGGAGCAGGTGAGCCCAAGCGGTTAAGTCCAAGCGAGACAGCAAGAAGAACATCTCTGCTGCGTTTCATGCATGCGTATATGCCGGAATTCAGATGCAGCTCAATCAACAAGCTACCTGACAATCACTCTCTCTCTCTCTCTTTCTCTCTCCCCGGCAGAAAACGGGCCTGCATTGCTTTTCACCACTAGCTACATATTTATTGATATATATCTCTTTCACCATTCATTTTTTAGCAGCTTTGACACAGTCCTCATCAAGTTGATCAAGCTATGCCATGTTTATGTGCAGTTCTTGCACAGTTTCAGGAAATCCTTTTTAACCCCCCCCCTCCCCCGGGAAACAGAGGGTTTCACACATCATGCAAGTATGATTGCACAGTTTCTATGGTTTTCTTAAAGGGATGGATGGATAAGACATTTTCAAGTGCCCACCAAACATTATTGCTGAAAGCCTTAAAAACATGAGATTGACTAAGGTATATGATATCCACTTCAGTTTGCATAAAGGTAGCCTCTGGGTGCATGCATGGTGGTTGTTGATCTAGTATATGACTTCAGATAAAGCTATCAACATTCACCCTTTTGAACTAATCCACGGCCACACACCAATGACATATGTAAAAGTACTCCGGCCGGATGTTCTCCAAAACAAAAGACAAGCATGCATCTCAAGTCTCAACCAAGAATTGCATGCTTTGCTATTGTCTGCCACACAAGCAAGATTACATAGGCAGAATTTATTTTAGTAAAAAAAAATTCTTGTCGGTAAATGAGTTTTGACTGATGTCATGCATGCAACATTCAATAAAGAGTAAAATACACGATCGGTTCCTAAATTTATCACGCTATGTCATCTAGGTTAATGTAATTAATTTGGAAATACGCATCTAGATCTCGGTATTTGTTATAGTGCGTCAATCTAGCCCAAAACCGTCACAACACATCCGGGATCCTATGTGACGCTGATGTGGTTACCACCTTCTATGTTATCTCTCCTCTCTCATCATTTCTCTCCTACTTTTTTTCTGTCCCTCGACCTCATACCAACATTGACCTAGGCAGCGGTAGTGACAGCCACCAACGGCGACAAAGCTTGGGCCGAGACAACCATGACAAGGTGGGCTCACATAGGACATTCACGCATGACCACGCATAGCAAACCCCATCCAGTCTCCCGTCGTTGATGCCACAACCTCTCCACGGAGCCCTCCGCACCAGAGCATCCCTACCATCGGCACTCACGCAAGACCTAGTTCTCACCGCCCAACACACGTATAGGATCTCCACCTTGGTGGACTTTGTCGAGAGTATATTGGTGGGAAGTTGTTCACCATTACCAGCAGTCCCTGCATAGTTGCATTGCCTTCAAGTGGCTACCTCCGACGGATCTCGAGTGATGCCCACGTCTAGCAGTACCCAGGGTTCCCCTTACGGCCTTACCGTTTTTGGTGCAGTTACCGCACCCCTGCGGTAACCGCATAACCGCGAGACATACCGTGGTTTCAAAAACTAAAAAGGTTACCGCGTGTGGTAACCGCGCGGTTTTGTAAACCCTGGCAGCACCACCGTGGAGGTCACCCAAGACTCGATGGAGGGATCCTCTAGCCCTCCACCAACGGACACCACCTTCTCCTCTAGTCACCATCACCGTTGATCTCATTCTATATCGAGACTATCTTCCTCGCCCCAACTCTGATGGCGGATAGAGCTTGGAACTCAATGGTAATAACGAACCATTACACATGACTTTGCATATTTAATGGGTTGTCTCTTCCAGCACCATCGGTGACGGTCAAATTAACATCCCATTATAGATGAGGCCATTATAAATGTAAATGGTTCTAATTTAACTACTTGACCTGTTACAGAAAACCGGTTCCCTAGTAGAGTATATGCAAACTAAAGTTGATTCTTGAGTTTAGTTACTACTCCCTCCATTCTAAAATATAAGGGCAGTCCCAACCCATAGTGTCCATAAGTAGTGTCTATGGTGTCATGTCAATAAGACATCATAATAGAAACTACACTCCACAACCCATGGTTCCTTAAAGTGGGCCATTAATAAATACATCATCTCTCTTCTCTACCAATTATATTTATTCTTCATCTATTATGAAGACACCATTCTCTCCCAATGTAAAACTTGATAGTGTCTAGTGCATAGGTTCTCGTGTTGAAGTTGTGTCTTGCATGAGACCCAGTTTCTTCATCTCTTAACTCTCTCTCTTAATTAATATAGTGACACATAAGCTAAAAGTCCTACATGGCAATGTAGTTAATGCCATAGACACCATCCTAGGTGGAGGATTGGGACTGCCCTGAGGCACAACCACCCTTAACCCAAAGACCAAGAAATAGTTATTATCACCTTATAGTTTGGATCATCCTAATAAATGTAATACATGCATCCAATAGAGTTAGAGAATGTGAGTGTGAAGGATTTAAAAAAGTAGTAATTTAATGGAGAATTGTCATAGTTAATGGCTTGCATGCATGTATGCCTTATATTATGGAACATCTAAAAAAGGTGGTTGTACCTTATATTATGTAATGGAGGGAGTAATTAATAACAAGAGGCTAAGAACAAGTTCAATAGTATAGCCAACTACTAGCTTCAATTCATCTATAGCCAATCTAATAGTTCATTCATAAAATAGTTACATACTCCACTATTAATACCTAGCCCCACCTGTTATAGACACACTGCGTCTTGGAGTCCGTGCTACAGCTGGCTACAAATTTGTAGCCCGGTGCTCTTCTCTCTTCTGATTTATCTTCTTAAAATATGTTTGCAGCTGGCTTATAGCCTGCTATTGTACCTGCTCAGATTCATTCATCTTTTAGGTGAGATTTGAGAGAGAGTATGAGGAGAGAACGAGGGAATGAAAGAGCTAGAAAGCTGCTGTCGTCGACGAGACCTTTTGTGGTCTTTCTTCTGTCTTTTGAGGCATGCAGTTGCTCACCTCATCAGCT